CCCCCCCCAAGGGCCTCCACACTGCCCTATTCTTCAAGGACCAGGCTGCATGTCCCCCCCAGAGGGAGCCCCCTTCTCAGCCCTTCCTCAGCCCACCTTGAGCCTGAGCCGCCCCCCCCAACCCTTGCACCAAACTCCCAGGCTGTCTCACCCCGCCCCCCCCCAGACTGTGGGCGCCCTGGGGCAGGGATGCGGGTGCACAGGGCTGGCACAGAGGGGGCCCCAAAACTTGGATGGTGCGTCAAAAAAATACAGCGACCTTCCTGGAGCACGCATTTACTAGCCTTCTCAGGTGTGTTCCATTTCATAGAGCTGGGGGCCCCCTCCACCCAGGAGCCTAGAGAGGGCTGGGGTCTGCGGCCCCCATCCTACCCGTCTGTCCATCTCCGAATAAAGCCCCCTGAGGAGCGACTTTGGGGTGGTTCTCCCTTTCACAACTCCCATCCTGTGCACGGATCTCCCTGGGTGCTCCAACCCCCTAGCTGGGCATGGGGGATGTGCTCCTCAAGGACCACGGAGCAGGTTACAGGGTCCCCTAGTTCCAGCCTGGTGGGTGTGGTCTCTGGGCACGGGTACGATCTCCCCTAAAAGGGGGACCTTCCCTGGGTTCACCCACCCGCTTCACCACCTGGCCCCTGCACACCCTCCTCCGGGAAGTCTGCTTCAGGGAAAGAAAGCTTGGAGCTGGGTGGGCCTGGACCCGGTGGGTTCCTGGAGCCAACAGTGCCAGGCAAGCCTTGAGTCTGGGACCGGGGAGGGTCCCAACTCCTACTAGCAGGGCAGCTGGGCTCTACAGAGCCGGGCACACAGGCGGTGCCCTATTAATGACACCAGTGTCAACCGTTCACTGCCAGGCCAGTGGGGAGACTGAGGGACTGGGCCTGTGTCCCTGCTGGCCACACCCCCGGTCCCCGAGAAGGGAGCAGCCCCCAGAGACCGCCCCCCTCACCGGGGCCTGTTGTTCGAGTACTAGCGGGATGGCCCCTAGCAGGGGACGCCTGCCTCCAAGGATACGAATCTGTGCCAAGGCCCTGACGTTGCCCTTCCTGGGTGTGCCTCCAACCTGGGAAGGAGACAAGGGGTGACATCCGGACAGCTAGGTAAGCCCTCCCCCACGGACCCATCCCAGAGTGGGATGGAGGGAGTCTCAGGCCAGGCACACGCAAGGACGGGGTGGCCTGGACGCCAGGCCCGGTGCTGTGACCCCTAAGATGGGCACTGGGTCCCAGTGCCCACTGGGAGAAATGCCATCCGTGAAGGCCTCTGGGTGGTATCCACAGGTGGCTCCCAGCACCTGCCGGGCACAGACCACCCCCAGACGCTCCACACCAGCCAGCCAGGCCAGCCCTGGGCCCCTCCTCTGGCCGTGCCCCTTTCCTCAGCCAGGCAGGGGCCCCCAGCTCTGGGAGACCTGAGCATGGCAGTCCCAGGCAGGCCCCGGCCCCGGCCTCTTGTACACTCAGACTCACTCACCCCGTGTCCCTGTGGCCTCCTCTCCCCACCCTGCGCTGATGGCATGGGGCGTCCCTCCACCTCAGCCAAGTGGCCACCACCGCCTGCACCCTTCTCCCGGCCTCTGAGGCTGAAACGAGGGCACCTGGTGGGGGCAGGAGCAGCCGCCCCACTGGACACGAGGCCCTGAGGAATTACCGAGTGAGTCCCCGTCTGTCCTGCAGAGGAGCAGCCCTGGTGACCCGGCCTTGCCACCCCCCCCAAAATGGCAAGGCAACTGGGCAGGGCCCCACACAGGCCACATCAGAGAGGTGCTCACTCTGCTGGATCAGGGATGCGTCCCGGGCCCCTAATCCAGGGAGCGCAGGGACCCAGCACAGACACCAGGGGGAGCCCCAGTGCCGCCAGCAGGAAGGCCTCGGGGTCAGGGGGTGGGCAGTGGCCTCCCAGGGCCCCACCCAGTCTCCCAAGGCGCCCCCCCGCCCCCCCGCCCCCGTCCACCCCGCCCGGCCCCGCACCCCACTCTCCACGCACACACAGCCACAGAGTCCCATTTTATTGCCTTTGGTGTCCAGGACATCTGACAGTCTCCAGACCCAGTAACTGAAAGTGCCAAGAACAGGTCAGGGTGGAGGAGGGGTCAGGCCCAGTGGCTAAAAAATACACCTGCCCCCTAACAAATGAGCCTGAGAGGAAAGCTGCCCAGGGGACAGTGTGGGAGGGCCGGGCCGGGGCGCCCCAGCTAAGCCTCAGACAGAGAGAGAGCTGCAGGCACAGAGCCAGGAAGAGCGAGACATCAGACTCGGGGAGAGGCAGAGACACCCAGAGACGCAGAGAGAGACGGGGCTCCGGGGCCCAGACGCAGAGACGCAGGGCATAGAGACAAAGGGAAGGGCAGGTCCGCAAAGTGGTGGACACGGGCAGACAGAGACACAGGGATGACCAGACGGGACGAGACGGCAGAGGGCACGCAGGGCGAGCTGGGCCCAGGGGACACAGGGGTGCCGAGGTGCCGGGAGAGGAGGCGAGGCGGCAGCGGGCGCGGAGCCCCTGCTCGGAGGCCCTGGGCTACATGACACAGCACTTGGTCTTGTGTGCGTGTGGTTCTTTGAACCGCAGTCTCTGCTTTGGCCGGTATTTTTCCAAGTAGGTGAGCTGCTTGCTGTTGATGGCTCCACGCCGCTTTCTGGGGAGACAGGACAGGGGTGGGGTCAGTGGTGGTGGTGGGGGGGGACACTCAGCACCTGCCCAGCCAGCCGCGGGGGTCAGGGGGCACGCTCAGCACCTGCCCAGCCCCGGCGAGCTCCAGGCAGAGCTCGCCTCACCTCCAGGCCCTTCCCGGGCCCTTCCCAGCGCTGATGTCACCCTTCCCGTATCTGCCGTCGCTGCTACCAGTATTCACCCGGCCTGGGGTCACCTCCTGCCGGCTAGCTCCCGAGCCCTGTCCCCCCATGGTACCCGCCCTCCTCCTTTACCTGGCACCACCCCACCCCCAGGCCACGGGCCCCTACAGGGTCCCAGGGTGACGCCCGGGCAGCCCTGCAGCCAGGGAGGGAGTGAGGGCCTCAGATGACAGGACATGGGGAACCCCTAAGGCTGCCCACCAAGCACTTCAGGAAGTCAACCGTCCCCACCCACCCACGACCTCAGGCGTCACCACGCGCTTGCTGGGGCCCACAAAATGGGAGTGCAGGAGACTCTGCAGGCAAAGCTTCCAGAGCCCCTCCGGCCCCGAGACTGGCATCGCTGGAGAAGGGCTGCCCCCCCTGGGGGCCCAGGCTCCCTGAGCAGAGCCCCCTGTAACCACGTCCAAGGGCCATATGCGTGAAGGATGAGTCTAAGCTGTGCTGAGTCCCTGTGCTTTGGACCTGCCGGGTGCCGCAGCCTGTCCGCGTTCACACCGCCGTGGACCACAGGGCCTGGGGCCCCTCCTCACCCCACACTCCCAGCTCCAGGGGCCGCACACAGGGACCGGTCCCCGCTGGGGCACGCGGCCTGGCTGCAGGGCCCTCACAAACGCGTCAATACTGCAGAATGAGGCTGTGTGGGACTGGGGGCATCTCGGAGGTCACCCTGTGGCCAGGGGCCAGGAGTGCCTGCCGGCAAGGGTGGGGAGTCCAGGATAAGGACCCCCT